CGCGTTGGAGAAGTCCACCTGGAGGAGCAGGTGTTCGGGGTGCTGTTCGAGGTGGGTTCTTGTTGCGTGCACCACCGTTTCGCCCCCTCCCTTCATCGCCACTCCAAACTGCAGGGGCGCGAAGTGGGCTTGGGCCAGGGCCGTCGTGAGGTGCAAACTGGCCTTGCCGAAGAGGCGTAGTAGGCACTCGCCGATGGCGATGGGCCTGGTGCCGCCGTCGGGCTTGGTGAATGCCAGCAATCTCGAGGCGGTGAGGAGGTCCGCTGCCTCTAGCGGCACTTGCCCTGCGAGTGCCGCGCTGGTCGCTTCTGTGAGCAGATTCAGGACGTCAGCGTTCGACGCGGCGGCGTCCCTCAGATGTTCAAAGCACATTCCGCTGGGCCCCGCCCCGACCCCATTCGGGCTGCGTCGTAGTATGGCTTTGGGCTCCCGTGGTGTGATGTTGAGACACGGCGGCTGCAGCGCTGGAACGGCGTTAGTGGGTGTTGTGCTTGCGAATGTCGCCCAGTTGGGAAGGGCGTGTTCGGCGGCGGGGTGTTTGTCTCGGAGGGCGTTAAGTGTCTCCAGGGTGGGTTCGCACACCGGGGTGGATTCCAGGGCTTGGAGGGCCTTCCGCAGGTTCCCGCGCTTTGTGAGTGTTTCCCCTCGGGCTAAATTCTCGGCGGTGTCGTTCGCGTGACGTGGGGGTCGTGGTAGTGAAATCGAGGTCACGGCTTTGTCGTACAGTGACTCCCAGGCGCCAGTGGCGAATTTGCGACAACGTCGCAGCATTCCGTCCCAGTCCGGCTTCCTCGTCGACGTAGTCGCGAGGGTCAGGCGAGGGAGAAGGAGTAACAGGCGCCAACCTCCTCTGCTGTCCCTGTTACGCGCGAGGTGCAGCAGTGGTGTCAGCAGGCAGGACGCGAACTCCGCCAGGATTTCGCGCGGTAGGCGATGTGCCAGGGGTGGGAGCCTGGAGTCGCGGAGCATAGTCATGTCCCACTCGCACACTTTGGCGAAGAGTTCGTCGTTCTTCGCCAACGCCAGAGGGGATTGTACTCGTGCTGCAGGGGTTGGTTTGCGGGCGACTGCCGAGCCGCGGCGGGTGTTGGATGCGGCGGCTTGCCGGTTGCATTGGCCGGGCCGCACATTTGCGTCTCGGGCCGGGGAGTCCTCCAGATCTGCCTCGTCCGAGGCGCCTTCCCAGTTTACCCCAATTGGAGGGGAATAAGTGGGGTCATTTCCGTGTTGAATGTCATAGTCCTCTTCATCTGCTTCTTCCGTGTTCCCTTCCGCCGCTCCCCGTGTAGCTCCTCCGTCCGGTGTGTCTGCTGCTGTAGTATCAGCACTTAGTCGGCTGCCATCACCTCGATCCATACCCCCGTGCCTGGCTGCTTCCCTCGCTGCCTCTCTGCTAGCGTTGGGTGCTTCCTCGGTTGGGGCTGCTCCCCGGCGCTGTCCTTCACGTTGTAATCGTGCCGCGACGCCGCGGAAGGTTGCAGCGCCCGTCGTCGCTCGCCCGGGTCCGTGGCCGCCCCTTGTTCCTCCCTATCTTCGGGTTGTGGTTCTCCCCCACCCCCCCCCCCCCCCCCCTGGTGACGCGGTTGTACCTGCGCGAGCCGTAGCTCGCGTGCTCGGGGCACTGTTGTTTTCCGGCTGCGCGAGAGATGACGCAGGGGTTGCTCTTCTCCCCTTCGCGTCGGCCCCTACGCGAGGCGGTAGCGTCCCCGCCGCCGGTGGGTTCTCCCTCCGGCGTCTCGTTGGCTATGTCGCCAACGTCCCAACTGCGCTTGGAATTTCGGCAGCAGCAGGTCCAGGTGGCAGCTATCGCGAGCGCCCTCGAGCAACTTCTGCGACTGCCTCGGCCCGCTGTTGGCGACCAGGTCGCGCGTTCTCCGGCGTCGCCTGTGCCTGTGCCTGCGACTGTGCGGGCAGGTTGCGGGGGAAGTCCCATGGATCGCTCCCCGCGTCGCCCGTCTGCCGTGTCGCCGGTTCAGCCGTCGTCGTTTCCTTCTCTGCCCCTTCCGCTTCCGTCTCAGCTTCCGCCGTCGCCCCTTCCGGCCCCACCGGCTCCCCCTCCGTTTTCGCCGTCTTCCGGCTGTCCTGGCTCTTCTCCCCGGGGGGTCCTCTGTTTGCCTCCTCCGCCTCTTCCAAGGTCGCCAGCGGCACCACCAGCCGTTGGCGGACACAGCGGCGTGTCGGATCGGGGCGTGTCCAAGGGATCCCCATCCCTACCATTTCGTCCGGCGAAGCGTCCCCGTGGGGGCGCCGCGTCGGGCTCTCGGGCAGGGTCACCTCAGTCCGGGCTGCCCGGAAGACGAAGGGACCTCTCACCGCCATTCTCTGGTCGTCCTCGGGGGTCGGGTTTGAGGGCGGGGCGGGGTATGCCGCCATCATCGACGGCTGCGTTCGGTGACCCGACACCGCTTCCTCGTCCGCCGGTCTGTCTGACGCCGCCGCAGGCGTTCTCGCCGGTAGAGGCGATGGCCGGCGTCGTCGCGTGTATTGGCGCGGTGGCGGAGGTGCTGGATTGTCTCCGCCCCCCGCCGCTGCAGGCACCTCCCCGAAAGCCCGAGGCGGGTCGGTCGTGGCGGCCTACGATGTCTCACCGCCAGCAGCGACGTGCGATGGAGGCCGCGTTGCTACTCCTCTCGCGGCTGGCCTATGGGTTGCCGCCAGGAGCAGAGGCAGGGGAGCTGGATCCTGCTCCTCGCGCCGTTGATGAGTTGAATCGGTCGCTCGTGGCGAATCAGCGCCCGGCGATCTTGTCCGCTTGCGCGGCGGTGCTTCGGGCTTTGGAGAGTCGGGCCGGAGCCCTCGTCCCGCCGTCGGCGTTGGAGGTGTTGTAGGTGTGCCGTTGTCTGGCGAGCGGGCCAGGTCCCCACCATTGAGCGCTGTGGGTGGCGCCGTAGCCATAGGTTGTTGGCTAGGTTGTAGACTCCTGTAAAGGCATGCTTGTATGCTGTATTGTCCGTTATTTTGAAGTGGACACCCGTCCCGTCCCCTTCCCTGCCCGCTTGCGCGGCCAGAGGCTGCGCCGCGAGCGACGGCGGCCGAAGGCCGCCGGCGCGAGCGCCGCTGCAGGAAACCGAGGAAGAACTCAAGTCGAAACTAAATAATGAACTTGAGGATGGGTGGGAGAGCATTATATACCATGGGCTCTCTCTCTCTCTCTCTCTCTCTCTCTCTCTCTCTCTCTCTCTCTCTCTCTCTCTCTCTCTCTCTCTCTCTCTCTCTCTCTCTCTCTCTCTCTCTCTCTCTCTCTCGCTCTCGCGAGCGCCGCTGCCGGAACCCGAGGAAGAACTCAAGTCGAAACTAAATAATGAACTCTAGGATGGGTGGGAGAGCATTATTTACCATGGGCTCTCTCTCTCTCTCTCTCTCCCTCTCTCTCTCTCTCTCTCTCTCTCTCTCTCTCTCTCTCTCTCTCTCTCTCTCTCTCTCTCTCTCTCTCTCCTCCGTTCTTTCGCGGCTCCTTATTTCTTGCCATCATGCTTTTGTGCCATGTCCTTGGTGGGCTTGATCGTGGCCGCCCGTTTTCTTGGGTGGCATACGTGGTATGGTTGTGGGTCCCCGCTACTCCGCTCTTTCGTACTCTCCCTCCATTTTTTTTTTCATTTTTTTTTAGCCTCCTTACATGCATTGTGGCGGCTGCTCAATGTGTTCTCATTTGGCTTGGCTTTCCAGCCCCCTTGTCAAGCATACTCGGGTTTTTTTTTTTTTTTTTTGGGTTGCGGAGCAACCTATTACGATCGATTTTGCCGATTTTTTTTTTCACTCAAAAGTTTGGATGGAAAACCTTTGCACAATAAAATATGACCTGCAGTTTTTGTTCTCTTCCTATGAATGTAACAAAATGCTAGAGGTGTTTATTCTATGATAGGAATCAAATGCATCTATTTTGAAATAATATTTGCATCATATTTGGTTGATTTCTGGTGTACTGTGAAATTTTGGCAGGCCTCTTGTTTGATTGCATCACATCGTTGTGTACGGATCCAATCGAGTCGTGCAAGAAAATTCATGTCATCATTCATGACATGAATTTTTTTTTTGATGATTATGTGACAGTGAAAAACTCAAACTCTAAGCTACCGCTTCCCCAGCGCTAGCATGGGGGGGAAGTCAGCAAGCCTAGTGTCTGAATGATGGAGCAACGCAATCTGTAATGTCCAAAAAAAGAACCAAAACCTATCAAATCCAGTTCGAGACAGAAACTCAAGGAGCTCGCCTGTGAACCGTTTGTGATTTGATAAGCATGCTTTCTTTTTTCGAAATACAGACATGCATTGCTGTGGATCGAGAATGAGAGCAAATAACAGCAGCAAGACACATCAGACCAAACACAGGACACCAGCAATTATAAGAATATAAAGCTGAAAATGAGATAATTGAACATCCCAACGAATTACAGCAAAACGCCGTAGGGAACTCATAAACGCGTTTACAAGAAAACCTGCACAAAATTAAAGTGGATATTATATTAGGCATTGCGTATGAAAGGAGTGAACAACAAGCAGCTAGGCCGAGAACGAATAGGCATGGGAAGTTAACACAAAATGTGATGATGAAAGGAACGAGACGAAGAGAGAGAAGTTGAAAGAGAGGTAGAGAGAGGCAGAGAGGGAGAGAGAGAGAGAGAGAGAGAGAGAGAGAGAGAGAGAGAGAGAGAGAGAGAGAGAGAGAGAGAGAGAGAGAGAGAGAGAGAGAGAGAGAGGTAAAACGACATGCAAGGAGGGGGGAGACGGCGGGCAAAGAAGTGGTTACGACGGACTAGGAGGGTGAAAAGGCGGGCAAAGGAGAGGGGAAACGACAGATGAGAATCCGTACCGAATACCTAAGCTGAAAGAGACCATTTACGTTTCCTCTACTAGCTTGAGGAAAAAACGAGAGAAGAAACATAGAGAAACTAGTAAGATACGACTACACGAAAATGTCATCAAGCCACTCTTAATGTCGACCTGGAGTAGTCTGTCGTACAGCTGCGATAAGAAAAGGCAGTCGTAGCTGCTGTCATGTTGCTGCCTAATCCCCAGATCTAGAATCACGAATTGCTGGAAGTGGGGAAGAGAAAAACGTGAGACAGAAGTATAGAGGAGGAAGAATCGAGCATAAGGAATTCACGTTTCTGCAGCTCTGAACCCGCAAGCAGAGAAGGTGCGTTCAAACAGCCGCGGTTTTGCAGCTCTGAAAGAAGATTTGTTTTTTTCTCGGTCAGAAAGTGCCCCATCGCACTGAAATTCGCGTAATCGTGTTATTTAACCAAAACTATCGGTAGTGTAACTCAGAAATTCGAGTGTGTAACGCGTAATGCATCCAGTGGCGAGCTCGGGGGTTTTGCCTCTTATTGACGGGAAAAAAATCAGCATTCTGTGGCGAGTGTTGCTAGGCGGGTGTCATTGCCACGTCGGATTCTATTTCCGTCTGGCAGTTACGCGTGACGAGCCTCGCCACTGGGAAAAAAATAACAGCATTGCCAGGTGGCCAGATTCGCTCGCCACAAGTCAACAGTGGCCACAGTCAACAAATATTTAAAGAAAATGAAAACGGCAACTCCCGACGGCTGGGCATTTGGCGGAAAGGTTAAAAAAAAAAAAAACAATCCAAACGCACGCAAAACAAAAGAAACATTACGGAAACAGGTCTACAGTTGAGCAATGAGGAACAAAACTATTCAAGAAACTGTACAAGCAGAAACGAACAACAAAAGAAACCAGTTCCAACAGCGTGGCACGATTTAAAAACAGTATCGGACGATGAATAACTTAAAGCCCATTTTTATATAGTGTAAAAAATGTAGAAACTCAATAATATGTCCTACTTGAATTAGATGCATTGACATTGTGATTGCATGTACTTTTATTAATGCACTATAACACAAATCACCTATTGAATACTTACATAGTATATGTTTTAATCCATTGTTAGAAGTTTACAGATACATACGCTTTGAAGTTATACATATACATGCGGGTACAATAAATATACCTATATAAAAATGCTCCGCAACCCTAAGACGATTGCGTCGTCTCTTGTTTTTTTTTTTTTTTTTGGGTTGCGTAGCAACCCTTTATAATCGGTCGGTAGACCGATTTCGGACGACTTTGTTTAGTCGGCCTAATAACCCGCACTACATATTTTTTTTCCAGGTGTAATGTGTCGCTCACTCTAAAAACACTGGTTTTTTTTTTGTCCATCTAAAATTGGTTGTCTATAATCAGAATGTTTACGTTCTCCAATAGAGAATCTCTACGTATCCATTTGTCTGTTGATTCCTTTTACTGTAACTCAGAAACTTAGAGTCTCAAAAGACCTTTCTAGCCTGCATAAAAAAAAATCTATGTTTTTTCGCAATTATTATGTGGTCGGTAATGGAGACGACATGATAATTGAGCAACATAGAGTTTTGTAACGATTTTCTAAGCTTTCTATGAATGATGAGAGAGGCTCGAATCATTCGCCGTCGATAATTACGGCGGAGAATGACTGAACCACAACATCACCACCACCATTTTAAAAGCATGTACCTAGAACGCATCTTACCCACACACACATATAACGGCTTGGCTCGACACGACAACAATACAATACAACAAAACGATCGCGAATGCAGTAAACGAAAGCATCAATGCGTTCGTGCCACATTAGAGATTGACATGCCCGTTATGGGAAAAAACTCCCAATCGGGCAACGACAATCGCACACTGTATGATGCACTCGGAATAATCAGCATCGTTTCCCTGCATGCACACACAATACACAACGATGTACAACACTTGCTAACAAACAAAAACAGTGCAATAGTGACTGCAAAGGAAGAAATGCATCAATGCTTTCGTGCTACAATAGAGATTGACATGCACGGAATGAGAAGCAATTCCCCTAACCGGCAACGACAATCGCAAATTGTGTGATGCACTAGGCATAGTCAGCATCCTTCCCCTGCAAGCACAACGCAACGCAACACCATGCAAAACACAAGCCAACAAACTGGTACGCACGTTGTCAACAATAGTACCATGCAAACGCACATACACAGGCAACACGGCATAAAAAATCACAAAACAACAATGCAAATGCACGCAAGTCAAACATGAAGATATAATGGGTAGCACGAAAACATTACCGAGTCAACTTCAAATATCCATGAATAAATGCTTAGACAGGATTTGGAATGAGAAGTCTTGAACGTGATGACTTGAATTTCGACGACTTGGAATGTTCTTGGAGTGTGACAAACTTGAACGTGATAACATGACTGGAGAGGATAACAAGAGGAGAAAATAAGATGGAAGAGCTTGAGACAGTAGCAGCCAGAGAGAAACTAAAGCGATTAGGTGGGGATGCGAGGGAAAAAACAGTACAGCGGAGACGAAGGCAAGAAAAACGGACAAGGAGAAGGGAGCAGCAAGTGCAAGAGAGAAGCAACCACTGAAATGAGAAGCAAATGCAGGGTAGAAACAAGTGTAGGGGAAAATCAAATACAGAAAGGAGAATAAGGAGCAAGGGAGAGCAGCACAGGGAGGGAGAGGGTCACACAGAGGGAGGAATGAATAGGCGGAGTAAGAATGGAGAGGGGAGACCATAGGGTGGAAGAACGTGAGGAAGAATGGTAAAAAAGAGCTGAGGGGGGAATGGAGGCGAGAAGACAGGAGCGGGAAAGAATGGAGGGGAAGGACAGAGGCAAACAGACAGGGGAAGAATGGATGGAGGAAGAACAAAAAAACAGCGAGAGGGAGAGTAATGTATACCTGAGAATGGGCTGCACTTGGGCTTGTAAGAATACAGATTGCTAAGGCAATAAAGCAGAGGGGGGATGAGGTGAGAAGAACGCAAGGGGTAAAGGAAAGGGGGGGGGGGGTGGGAGAGCGTTGGTGAGGAAGAATGGAAAGGGAATGGCAGACGGGGGGAGAGCAGAGGGCGGGAGAATGGAGGATGGAAGGACGGAGGGGGGAATGGACGGGGGAAGACAAAGGGGGGATAAACTGAGGGGGGGAAACAGGAATGAGGGAGACAATGAGAGGAAGAACGGAGGTGGAAAGACAAATGGAGGAAGAAGGGAGGGGGGACGACAAAGGGGGAGGGACGGAGGGGGGACGACAAAACGGGAGGAACGGAGGGGAGATGGCGAACGGGGAGGAAGGTAGGGGGGACAGCAAAAGGGGGGGAACGGAGGGGGGACGGCCAAGGGGGAGGGACGGAGGGGGGACGACAAAGGGGGGGGAATGGAGGGGGGACGGCAAAAGGGGAGGAACGGAGGGGGACGGCAAAAGGGGAGGAACGGAGGGGGGACGGCAAAGGGGGAGGAACGGAGGGGGGACGGCAAAGGGGGAGGAACGGAGGGGGACGGCAAAGGGGGGGGAACGGAGGGACGGCCAAGGGGGAGGAACGGAGGGGGGACGGCCAAGGGGGAGGGACGGAGGGGGGATGACCAAGGGGGAGGGACGGAGGGGGGACGGCAAAGGGGGAGGGACGGAGGGGGGACGGCAAAGGGGGAGGGACGGAAGGGGGACGGCAAAGGGGGAGGAACGGAAGGGGGACGGCAAAGGGGGAGGGACGGAGGGGGGACGGCAAAGGGGGAGGGACGGAGGGGGGACGGCAAAGGGGGAGGGACGGAGGGGGACGGCCAAGGGGGAGGGACGGAGGGGGGACGGCCAAGGGGGAGGGACGGAGGGGGACGGCCAAGGGGGAGGGACAGAGGGGGGACAGCCAAGGGGGAGGGACGGAGGGGGGACGGCCAAGGGGGAGGGACGGAGGGGGGACGGCCAAGGGGGAGGGACGGAGGGGGGACGGCAATAGGGGAGGGACGGAGGGGGGACGGCAAAGGGGGAGGGACGGAGGGGGGACGGCAATGGGGGAGGGACGGAGGGGGGACGGCAAAGGGGGGGGACGGAGGGGGGACGGCAAAGGGGGGGAACGGAGGAGGGACGGCAAAGGGGGGGGACGGAGGGGGGACGGCAAACGGGGGGAACGGAGGGGGGACGGCAAACGGGGGGGAACGGAGGAGGGACGGCAAACGGGGAGGGACGGAGGGGGGACGGCAAAGGGGGAGGGACGGAGGGGGGACGGCAAAGGGGGAGGAACGGAGGGGGACGGCAAAGGGGAGGAACGGAGGGGGGACGGCAAAGGGGGAGGAACGGAGGGGGGACGGCAAAGGGGGAGGAACGGAGGGGGGACGGCAAAGGGGAAGGAACGGAGGGGGGACGGCAAAGGGGGAGGAACGGAGGGGGGACGGCAAAGGGGGAGGAACGGAGGGGGACGGCAAAGGGGGAGGAACGGAGGGGGGACGGCAAAGGGGGGGTAACGGAAGGGGGACGGCAAGGGGGGGGGAACGGAGGGGGGACGGCAAAGGGGGGGGAACGGAGGGGGGACCGCAAAGGGGGGGAACGGAGGGGGGACGGCAAAGGGGGGGAACGGAGGGGGGACGGCAAAGGGGGAGGAACGGAGGGGGGACGGCAAAGGGGGGGGAACGGAGGGGGACGGCAAAGGGGGGGGAACGGAGGGGGGACGACAAAGGGGGAGGGAGGGAGTTGGTCGAGGAGATCGTCGGCTCGCGGGATCGGGTAACGGGACTTGATTGTGATGCGGTTGAGCGCGCGGTAGTCGATGCACATACGGAATCCGCCATCTTTTTTTGGTGTGAACAGTATGGGGGTGGCGTATGGAGATGTACTTGGGCGGATAAAACCTTTGGTCAGGAGGTAATCCAACTGCTGCTGCAATTCTTCGAGTTCCGGTTGGCTGAGCCGAAATTGTCGCTGTACGGTCGGTTTTGCGCCTGGTTCCAGTTCGATGCGATGGTCTTCGGGTCGGCTTGGAGGGAGTCCGGCGGGCAGGTCGTCCGGGAAAATCTCGGGGTATTTCCGAATGAGTTCCGCTAAATCCGGAGGAACGGCTTCGCACAGCTTCGCGATGTCTTCCGCTGTTGTCGGTGTTGTCACTTCACGAAGATCAACAGCGTACGCTGCTGCGCCCGCTTTTATCGCGCGCTTGAAGGTGATCGCGTGGACTTGGGTACTTC